GAGTTCTAACTGTTGGCCACATGGACAGTAGTGACAGATCAGGCTTCACGTGAAAGAAAGGCACTGGTAAAGGGAATTTGGTTGTTCCAGGAGCTAATGCTGGTCTTGTGCCTTTTCTACAAATTAAAATTAGTTTCAATTAAAGTTTAAGATAAATGAGAATAAAATGCTTAAGAATAGACTTTATCTAAGAAATATAAAACCCAAACAATGCATTGCTGAAAGACATTATAAGTTCCTGGGCAGGCACTGTGCTCACAGCTTTGATTCAGAAAGCCAGAACACCTGCAGGGACACATGCGGTCTGAGTCACCATCAAGACCCAGGGTGACTTTCCTTGCAGAAAATGACAAGTGGATCCTCAAAGGCAGGAGACCCAGGACACCTCAGGTGGTGTGGAACGGAAGGACACAGCAGGCAACCCGAAGCTCCCTGCCACCAGGACCTGCATGTGGCTCAGGATCCAGGCGCAGCTGCAACACCCACCAGTGGGGTGAGGGTAAGTGGTGCTCACACTCACTGACAGGGCCAGGAGTATCCCAGAGCAAGGAGGGTCTCCGCACCAACCTGACGCCCACCACAGGAGCTGGGATGGATGCCTCGGATGCCACACATGCAGAGGAGCTTAGTGGGCCAGGCACTGATTTTTGTGGTGCTGCGTGGAGCCCAGGGCCTGGCCTATGGTGGGCGAGCGCTCCCCACTAGGCTGCACCAGCCACTCAAAGTCAAACTCAAGGAGAATGTGAGTCTCTGTGACAGGGGCCGGCAAAGCTTTCTCAGATCGACACCAATAATGTTTTGAATGTTCTCAGAATTCAGGGTGCTAATGCCCCAGGGGCATGCCAGGGCATGGGTGCAGTTCAGCACTGGCGCTGGCCGAAGCTAGCAGGGCCATGCACTCAGCCTGGCGGCACCCACATCTCTCAGAGCACAGTGTGGTTGACATGGGTGTGTCACAGGCCACAGCAGGAGGATTGAGCTGGGGTCAGTAAGGCAAAGGACTGGACTTCTTTACAACATGGGTACACAGATGGACCCCTGCCATTAGCTCCAGGCAAAGCAACATCAAAACCCAGTGATACTGCATCACCCAACCAGGACACTGCCATGGTATAAATGTTAAGTGTCGCTGCAGATGACTGCAAGCTTTCTACCATGACAAGGAGTATATAGGGTGCAGTGATTTTGTTATTTCTTCAACTTTCTTTTTCTAAGAGATGAGATTCATGATGCTGTCCAGAAAAAGTTGCGACACCGCCTCCAGGGGTATAGGGCTGTCGTGTGATGGACACTCGCACACCTCCAGGCAGGCCCAGGAAGTTGGGGGTCACACAGAGGCTTTTACTTTTTCCTGGGCTCGCTATGTAGCCCAGGCTGACCTTGAACTCACAAGGATCTTTTGGCCTCAGCCTCCCAAGTGCTGGGATTACGGGCATTCACCACCACATCTAGCATGCAGAGGCTTCTAGCACTGCCACCCACATGAATAGGAAACTGGGGATCCTCATAACAGGTGGCCCAAAGCAAAGGAGGTCCTGAGTCATGGGCAGCATGGATGTTCTAGGAACACCAACAGCACAGGCAGTGTGACTGCAAGTCATGCGATGTGCAGAACTGTGGCAAACGGTGCAGGCTCTCTGGAGTGATAAGAGGGCTCTGTGATCCACTTCAGGGAGGAAGACTCTGGAATGCCCTGAAGGTCACCTAGTTTGCTCTGCTGATGGCCAGACTGCACAGTAGGGAGTTTAACCTGGGCACAGATGGATGGAACACAGGTGGGGAATGGACCAATAGCCACTTACAGAGCCAGAAGTCAGCAAGAGATGGATACACAGATGGATGTCCCAGCTAAAAATCCCAAAGAGGATTTCAAAACAGCTAAGCCAGGAAGGGAGGATATTTGATCACCAATCATCAGGAAAATGCCATTCAAAACCCAACATATAAGCAAGCAAGGGAGCAAAATGAAAGACAGACAGGCCGTAGGAAGCAGGGAGATGGAGCTTTTACACAAGGGAGGGGGACAAGAGATGGAAAGGAAAGAACTGAAATGCACTAAAACTGTACATTAGTGTCCAAAATAAAGCCACAAATGGAAACCACTGCCCACCACCAGGATGGCCATGGGCACTGAGTGACAACACTGACACAGAGGGGGTGGCATTGTCACCACTGGGGGGACAGGTGCTTGACACCTGCTCTGCTACACCTAAGGTCTCCATGGGTGTACCCTGTAGAGCCCAGCAGGGATGCAGAGGGCAGGAGGGCCTTCACTGCCCCGTGACATGGGTTTCTGATGCCTGCAGGGGAGAGATACCAGAGGTCACAGGTGACAGTCCTGCATCTCTGGACATTGGACCACCGCCACCTGTCCCAACCCACCTCAGGCTGCTTCAAACCTTTCAAACCTTTCTGCCTCCCTGACCTCAGCCTCCATGGCTCCCCTGCCACCCAGCAGGATGGTGCCGACCAGCAACGCACTTCCTCACCTGCCCCATGACCCTGAAGAGGCAGTATGTGGACCTGCCTGATGCACACGCCGTGTGCACTGAGTCGGTGGGAGCACTGTACAGGAGCCCAGTGTGTGCTCAATGTAAGGCCACCTGCACGGGGACAGTCAGCTCTTCCTCATGTGCAAGCCACAGAGGTGGGCATTCAGTGGTCAACATGCACCAAAGACAGCCTCTAAGGGCACAGAGCCGGACAGGAGGGAAGCAGAGGGAGACACTGAGGAGTGGCCAGGGCAGCACCATCTCCCAGCCCCGTGACAGCTGGGCACATCACCAGAGCTCACCCCAGCAGCAGGGCACCCACACAGGAGTGTGGGCCAGGCCCACTGCTCAGATGTGGGAGACCTCAGGGGGCGGAATTGCTGTCTTTGGATCAGCACCGGAGAATCAGAAAGAGCAGCAGCAACAGCAATCTGGGAAGCATTTGCTGAAATCATCCTGGGCCAAGGAGAGTGGGAGAGGCAGGGTCCATCCAGCGGGATGTGGGCAGAGGCCACAGTGTCCCTTACTCTACTATCGAAGAACCTCTTGTCCCGTTGCCCTCATCTGGCTCCTGGATGAATGTACTGAGCAGATCTCAGCTTTGATCAGTTCATCCAGCTTCCTCTGAAACTAGAGGTGTCCAACCAGGTGGAAGAAGCCATCCAATGACACTTCCAGGAGTGTTTCCAAGGGGCTACCTGGGCTAGAAGGCACACATTTTTGTTTACCCCCTTTCTACTCTCTGCGTGGGACACTAATGATGGCTAGAGCTGCAGCAGCCA